AAATACCACCAGCAAAATTTATCGAATTGTCAACATTTCCAGCAAAGGGACGACATTATTATGAAAATGCATTATTATTATGATTATTATTATTTGCAGCCTTGACCAACATTTAACACATAGCTTCAAGCCTCCAATGCAAGAATTCTTCGCCAAAGAACTTTAATTTGGGTGGCAGTGTTTCCAATAGCTTTTTTTTCCCACCTTTTGAAATGATTTAAAAAAATAAATAAATAAATAAATTGTAAATTGTAATTTTTTTTTGTTGGTATTAAATGATCTTGATACTGATATAAATTAGAAATAAATAATTTAGTTGTTGATATCAACCGAATGGACAACAGAATTGTAAATAAATTACCCCTTCAATCTTGCCTAACAAATAGTAGTATTAAGTGAATTAGGGTTTTATAGAGAGAGATAATTATTAAGAGAGAGATAACTACTAAGAGAGTTTAATTTGATTTAGAAATTTGAAAACTGAAGTCAAAAGATTAATTCTGAAGAAAACAAAAAAGGGTAATTCTCCGTTTCTCATTGTGAGAAACAAGTTTTGTTTCTCATGAGATATGTATCAAGATTTGGAGCTCCCACTCATGACGCACACACGGTCCCCACCAGTAAAAAACATCACATTATTTTCCAAAATGCCATTATGAGAAACAAAAGTGTTTTCCATAATGAGGAAATGGGGCTCCCTCAACAAAAAATAGGAAGAGTTTGGCTTTGGTTGAAATGGGTGGTCATGTAACTCATGTTATACCGGGACGATAATTAGGTGGAGTTTTTTATTTTTTATTTTATTTTAATTAAACCTGCAATTTTTCTAAATGTTCGGGGTAGATTCGAAAAGACCATGTTAAAGTCGAGTTTGCCATCCGTTTCTTTTTTGTTGACCTCATAGCGTTTTGATGATGACAAGAAAACTTTTATCTAATGCTCATTTAAGTAAATGTCTAAACACATTGTCAGAGATATGAATTATCGGATATATTTTCCGTAGACACTAGCGGAGCCAATTAAGTGACATGGAGGGACAACTGTCCCTCCAATTTAAAAAAAAAATTGTATTATTTGGTAAGAATGACAAGAACACTGCAAAACTAACCCCCAAGTAAGTTGAGTAAAATGTCTGGTTTTTTAATTGAGTTTCTTATATGATTGTTGATGTTGTTGATGCCGCCATTGAAGAAGTTGGGGGAAGAGAGATAAAGAAACAGAAAGAGAGTGAGGAGGAGAGAGAAAGTGAGAGTTTATCTGTTTTTGTGGGATTGGAAAATGTAATGGATTAGTTTTTTATTTGGGGAGTTGAGTTTCTCGGCTTTTTTATGGATGGTGGTCTACTTTTTTAATTCTTTTATCTTAGGAAAAATTATCAAAGGGAGCTTCATTAAGAAATTATACTCTATATTAGACGCGTGACAAAACTACTTACCAAACTGAGCTTGAGGGTAAAACGTCATCCAGGGTAGCGTTTTACCCTTTGGCAATTTTTTTTTCAAAACATTTCAGTTAGGGGTAAAGCGCTATCGTGGATGGCGTTTTACCCCTGACTGAAGAACAATGAAATAAACTGAAGTGAAGTAGCAGTTTGTACCCAATGCAAAAACTCCAGCGTGGTTGGCGTTTTACCCATATGCAAAAACTCCAGCGTGGTTAGTGTTTTATGAAGAAGACAAAGACGCCCTCCACATTGGCGTTTTACCCTTCGATTTTTTTTTTTATATTTCAGTTAGGGGTAAAACGCCATCCAGGGTAGCGTTTTACCCCTAACTGAAATGTTTTTTTAAAAAATTTGGCAGGGGTAAAGCGCTACCATGGATGGCGTTTTACCCTTAGACTTAGTTTGGTAAATAGTTTTGCCACGCGTCTAATATGGAACATTGTTTGATAATTAAGCTAGATTGGTAATTTTTCCTTTATCTTATTGAGTAAATTAGAAAAGAAAATCTTTATTTTTGCCATATTCTTTGGTCAGCTTTCAACAAGTCTAGTTTATTGGTTTAGCTTGCTTTCTGTTGGCTTTAAATATGACATACTCGTATTGACATAAACGTAGTAACATGGGTGATCAACTTATAAATGATTATTTGGTTACTTTTATTAAGAAGGATGTCTTCTTACAAGTTTCCGATGAAAAAATTACTGGTCGCTTTCAAAATATGAAGACTCGAAGGATGCAAGTGTAATTTTAATTTAAAATTTATGTAGTTTTTTCATCATTTTGAATTGTATGACTAAGTATTTTTTGTATTTTGAAATTTTAAAATTAAGTAATGACCAATTTGTGTGTTTGAGTTTTTTTTTGTTTTGTTAAGATTTTTGTCAAATTATATTATATCCATAATCCGTCCCCCCAATTTGAAAATCCTGGGTCCGCCACCGTCCGTAGATATAATTAGGAGAATAATATATTTAGTATTATTTATGTTAAGATATTTAGTGAATATATTTATAGGATATATGGTTATGATATTGTATCTTTTAGGAAAATTATTTCCTATCTCATAAGCTTAGGTTTTGTATAAATACTCTACCTATTGATGAATAATAATCAAGACCTGTTAAAAAAAAAATCAAGTCATTCTATTAACTCTTTTCTCCTAAATTTGTCATGGTATTAAGAGCAGATTGGTAGGTTAGAAAATTATACCCACCAGCGGGATCGATGAACATTTAATCAAAACTAAATGTTTTTTTTTTTTTTTTTTTTTTTTTTTATAAAAAAAAAGACTTGATATTGTTTTGTATTGATCACTTGATGATCATGCGTGGCTTTTGTTCTATTAAGACTAAGTTGCCTACGTGGAGCATAGGTGAATATGCTTGGCAATCATAGGTAGTTGGATTTGATATATGACGATAGGGACAAAAAGTAGAGATCCGCCAACAAGTTTTTAAGGAACTTGTAAATCATTCATGGATCATTAAAGACAACCACGAAAAGGGACAAACCGAAAGGCAACAAGGATTTGATCCATGAAGGTTACACTCCATTCATAATCCACACATATATTTTCCGATATCACATATCTCTAACACACTTGAACTGACTTAGGAAGAGTAAAAAAGGAGCTCAAAACATAAGTGGACTTTGTTAGGATTAGTGTGGAGATGCATCAATGCATGGAGGCATAAGGTGTAATGCAAAGAAGCTCCTTTATCATATAGGTTCGACCAAACTTGTGATATGTTTGGTCGAACCATGTAATTGAGGCAGAACCTGCAGCTAGTTAAAAACTAGAGCAGGTTCGGTCGAACTAGGGAGGAGTCTGACCAAACCACACCAAGTTCGACTGAACTCTGGGTAGGTTCGGTCGAACCTCCTTTGCGCTGTTCTAGCCCCTGATTTCTTTCGATATAGGCTGCGATTTAATCTTGTCCATTGATTCTTCTTTGTACTCCTAGACTATATATACTATTACTAAGCCTTTTTATTAGATATACACAAACATTAAACACTAAGTGAGGGTGTGTTAGAGTTTGTGAGGAGCATTTGAATTCCATACAATTCATACTTGTAATTCTCAATTTCATTCATCATCAATACTACTCCATAGTGCAAGGGTGGGTTTTTTCTCCCGGTTCTCAAGTTTTCCACAGTAACATTATCTCCCTCTTACTTGCTTTAATTTAATTTCTTCATGGTTGTTTTTAGTTGTTGTGCTTGCTTGTTCTTCATTGTATTGGGTTGATTTCAATTAGTTTGAGCCCTTAGTCCTTACAATTGGTATCAGAGTCAGGTTGAATCTTTGGTGTTTTAGTGATTTAGGGTTTGTGTTAAACTTGAATTTGTGATTGAGTTACAAAGTTTGAGTCTTTAGGTGTTCAAAGTTTGAATCTTGGGTGTCAAGTTTCATTATTTGTTGTTGAAAACCTATTGTGAACTTTGTGTGTTTGATTTGCAATGGAGGAAGGTAAGTTGTAAATTGAGAAGTTTGATGGGAAGGACTTTGGGTTTTGGAAAATGCAAATAGAGGACTATTTGTATCAAAAGAACCTATAATTTCCCCTTACTAGTAAGCCATCGGGTATGAAGGAAGATGAGTGGAAAGTTTGGATAGACAACCTCTAGTAGTGATTAGATTGACATTGGCTAATAGTGTTGCTTACAATGTTAAAGATGTGACAACGACGGTTGGTGTGATTAAAGCGTTGTCCAATATGTATGAGAAGCGATCGGCTATGAACAAGGTGTTCTTGATGCGTTGTTTGTTTGAAATTGAGATGAATGATTGTGGTTCCGCCCCTAAATACATAAATGAATTTAATTCGATAATCTCTCAACTAGCTTCGGTTGAGATCAAGTTTAATGATGAGGTGAGGGCTTTGATTTTGTTGTCATCGTTGCCTAGAAGTTGGGATACCGTTGTAGCTGCCATTAGCAACTCTTCTAGAAAGTCGAAGTTGAAGTGTGATGATGTGAGGGAGTTAATCTTAAGTGAGAGCTTGAGAAGGAAGAACTCGGGTGAGTCATCAGGTGGTGCTTATTCTAGTGAAGGTAGGGGACGTGGAAGACAACAAAGAGGTGCTCAAATATGAATATTGAAGTCTAGAGGGAGAAGTAAGTCGAAGGGGAAGGTGAACATTGTGTGTTGGGATTGTGATGTGAAAAGGAATACAAAGAGGGAATGTTCTAATCCCAAGAAGGGTAGTTCAAACCACAAGAACCACAATGATGCTAGTTCATCGGTTAGCTTGGCATCAAGCGATGAAATTGGTGATGCATTGATCTTGAGCGCTGATAGTCCCATTGAGTCTTGGATCCTTGATTCGGGAGCTTCATTTCATTTTTCTCCATGTAAGGAGATTTTCAAAAACTTCAAGAGTGGTAAGTTTGGAAATGTGTACATTACGGATGATGAACCGTTGGATATTGTGGGGAAGGGAGATGTCATGATCAAGACTTCAAGTGGGAGCTCATGGAAGCTTGGTACATACCTAAGCTTAGGAAAAATTTGATTTTGGTGGGTCAACTCGACTCAAGCGGTTGTAGAACCATGTTTGGTGAGGGTACTTGGAAGGTGTCGAAGGGAGCTATGGTGGTGGCTCGGGGCACGAAGACCGGTACTTTGTACACTACCTTAGAGTGCACAAGCACGATTGCTACAACCGCAAATGATGAGACTAAGCTTTGGCATACTCGGCTTGGTCACATGAGTGAGAAAGGGATGAAAATGCTAGCTTCAAAGGGTAAGTTGTCGGAGTTGAAATCAATCGACATGAAATTTTGTGAGACATGTGTTTTTGGCAAGCAAAAGAAGGTGTCTTTCACAATAACCGAACGGTCCTTGAAGAAGGAGAAGCTAGAACTTGTGCACACAGATGTTTGGGGCCCATACCCCATCAAGTCTCTTGGTGGTTCTCACTACTTTGTTACTTTCATTGATGATTCAACCCGGAAATTATGAGTGTATTTCATGAAGCACAAGTCAGAAGTGTATGAGAAGTTCAAGACTTGGAAGGCGAAGGTTGAAAATGCTTCGGGCAAGAAGATTAAAGCAATCAAGCCCGGCAATGGAGGAGAGTATGAGTTGGAAGCTTAAAAGAACATTTGTAAGGAGCATGACATTGTTTTAGAGAGGACCGTTCCTGGTAAACCTCGCCAAAACGGGATAGCGGAGCGGATGAGTAGGACTTTACTTGTGAGGGCAAGGTGTATGAGGTTGTTTGCGGGCCTCCCAAAGTGCTTTTGGGCGGATGCCGTTAGTACCACGGCTTACTTCATAAATTGTGGACCTTCGGTGCCCATGGAATTCAAGATACCGGAGGAGGAGTGGAGTGGTAAGGAGGTGTCCTACACTCACTTGAAGATCTTTGGTTGTGTGGCCTATTTGCAATCTGAGAAAAGAGATAAGCCAGACCCAAAGGCTATCAAATGTTACTTCATCGGGTATGGATATGAGAAATATGGTTATAGATTGTGGGATCCTAAGAATCGAAAGATTGTTAGACATTGTGGTCTGACATCACTTTTGATTAGAGGTCCTTGTACAAGGATAACTTTTGTGGGAAATCCGTTGAGAAAGAATAAATTGGAGATGAGTGGGAATTTGTTGATCTAGATGGTAAAGTTAGAAGTGGAAAAGAGGTAGAACAGGTAGAAGTTGGAGTGCCAATTCAACAAGCATTTCCTCAACATGGTGTTCATGTTCCGGTGGATTCAGATTCTATTGATTCGGATGATGATGATCATTTGGAGACAGATGAACGAGTAGTTATGGGTGATCCCGTTGTGGTTCAAGGAGAGACTTCTACACCACCAACGGTGAGGAGATAATCAAGACCAATCAAGCCACCAAACCGATATTTTCCATCCTTGCATTATTTGTTGTTGACGGATTCTGGTGAGCCGGAATGTTATCAAGAGGCAATGGGCATGGGTGACTCGTTGAAGTGGGAGCAAGCAATGGAAGATGAGAAGTCTTCATTGGAGAAGAAAAACACTTGGGTGTTGGTTGAGTTGCCTAAGGGCAAGAGAGCACTTTTGTGCAAGTGGATATTTCAAAAGAAAGAAGAGTCGGATGGTACAATTAGGTACAAAGCAAGACTTGTGGTGAAAGGTTTTTCACAAAAGAAGGGCATTGATTATCATGAGATCTTTGCTCCGGTTGTGAAGTTGACCACTATAAGGATCTTGTTGGCTATAGTGGCTTCGGAAGACTTATTTCTTGAGCAAATGGATGTAAAAACCGCGTTTTTACATGGAGATTTGGAGGAGGAAATCTACATGAAGCAACTGGAAGGGTTTCAAGTTCCGGGTCAAGAGAACTTGGTGTGCAAGCTTAAATAGAGTCTATATGGGTTGAAACAAGCTCCGAGACAATGGTACAAGAAGTTTGACAATTTCTTGCTAGGAAATGGTTTTGTGAGAGCGGAAGGTGATCATTGTTGCTACTTTCAAAGGTATGACAATGGCTATATCTATTTACTTTTGTATGTTGATGATATGTTGATTGTAGGAACTAGTATGCAAATTGTCAATGATTTGAAAAAGAAGTTTTCAAGAAGATTTTAGATGAAAGACTTGGGTGAGGCTATGCAAATACTTGGCATGAGAATTTCTAGGGATATTTCAACGGGTGTGTTGAAGTTATCTCAAGAGGAGTATGTCAAGATGGTGCTTAAAATATTTAACATGATTGTTGCAAAGCCTCAAAGTTCACCTCTTTCAAGTGAGCTCGACCAAGGAGGATTTTCCTAAGACAAGGGAAGAGAAGGACAAGATGGCCATTTTTCCTTATAATTCGGCCGTTGGTAGCATGATGTATGCTATGGTTTGCACTAGGCCCGATATTGCTCACGCAGTGGGAGTTGTGAGTAGGTTCATGTCAAATTCGGGTGAGAGACATTGGGAAGCCGTGAATGACTTTTGAGGTATTTGTTGGGTAGTTCAAGTATGGCTCTTTGCTTTGGGAGAAATGGAGTTGTTTTGGAAGGTCTTGTTGATGCCGATTTTGGAGGATGTTATGATTCAAGCAAGAGCACTTCGGGGTATATGTATACCATTGGTGGCACTACCATTAGCTGGAAGAGCAAACTCCAAAAGTGTGTGTCTATGTCTACGAAAGAAGCCGAGTATGTGGCTATATCCCCACTAGAAAACAAGCCATTTCCGACGGAAAAATTTCGTCGGAATCACCCTGAATTTCGTCGGAACACCCGTTTCCGACGGAATTTCCGTCGGAACCGGTTGTCGGAAGCCCTTTTGTAGGAAAAACGACCTTTTCCGACGGATTTTTTTTCGTCGGAAGAGGTTTTCCAGCACCGGAAAGTTCGTCGGAAATTTCCGACGGAATACAAATCCGCCGGAAAATTCCAACGGAATACAAATCCGCCGGAAAATTCCAACGGAAATTCCGTCGGAAACTGCTATAAAAAAAAAACTCTAGCACCACCGCTACCAGCCCCAACCACGATAATCCATCCACCACCATACCTACCCCTTACCCCTATACCCACCCACCACCGTACTTAACCCTCCCTCTTAACCCTAACCCACCCACCACCGTACTTAACCCTCCCCCGGCCTTAACCCTTACCCACCCACCCACCACCACCCTTAGCCACCACCACCGAACCCTAACCCAGATTCACCAACCACCACCACCGAAACCACCCACACTAGCCCCTATCCCACCTTCACACACCACCACCGACACCACCACACCAAAAATTAACCTCAAAAGGTCGAAAATTAACCCCAAAAAACATTAATTAGCCCAAAAATACGAAAATTAACACAATAAAATCGAAAAATACCACACAAAAATAGCAAAACCAGTAGATTTACAAATTTTAACCGAATTTTACAAAAAAAAAAAAATTGATAATTAAACAACAAAAATTAAAGGAAATATATAAATATACAATTATCTAATCAAATTTATAATTGACATTACAATTACATAAAAAATTAACTAGACTACAATCTAAGCTAAATTAAACTAGATCTACAAAACAAAAACCTTGAGGGTGGGTGGCGCCGTTGTTGTTGCGTCGTTTTTGTTGGTGTTGATGTTGGTCAACGGTGGTTGTGGTTGTTGTTGTTAACGGTGGTTGTTGTTGTTGGGTGGCTTGCAACGGTGTTGATGTAACCGTTGTTGTTGCGCCGTGGTTATAGTTGTTGGGTGGCGCTGATTTTGACGAGAGAACAGAAAGGGGGAAAGGAAGAAGACGAACAAAGAAAGGGGGAAAAGAAGAGGAACAGAGAAAAAGGGAAAGGAAGAAGACGAACAGGGAAAGGGGGAAAAGAAGAGGAATAGATAAGAAGCAGAATAAAGAGGAAAGAAGAGGAAAGAGAAAGAGAAGAGGAGGAAAGAGAAAGAGAAAAAGAATAGGATCCGGGAAAAAGAAAGAGGAAAGAGGCGGAGGAAAGAGAAAGAGAAAAGGAAAGAGAAAATGGGGCGGAAAGGGGATTTTTTTTTATTTTTTAATTAAATATTTTGACGAAATTTCCGACGAATTTATTTTCTGTCGGAAATTACAAATATTTCGACGGATTTTTTGAATTCGTCGGAAATGTCCGACGAAATTACCTGTCCGTTGGAACCGATCCGTCGGAAATAACCTATTTTCTAGTAGTGGTCGGAAGTGGGAAAATAGATGGAATGGTTGAAGGGTTTCCTTGAAGAAATGGGCATGAAACAAGATGTTTGTGCGTTGTATAGTGATTGCCAAAGTGCGGTTCAATTGGCTAAAAATCCTATGTTTCATTATCACACTAAACACATTAAGAAGCGTTATCACTACACTAGGAGTTTGGTGAAGGACGGCACGATGTGTTTGAGGAAGATTGCCGGTTCAAAGAATCCGCCGAATATGCTCACTAAGGTTGTTTCTAGTGACAAATTGAGGTTGTGTAGGACCTCAATTGGACTCCATCATTAATTTGATGGAGTGTTGCGCTATTGTGAAAAAAATATTTTGATGAATGTTGTTGAGTGTTCTTGAAGAAGGTGTATATATGGATGTCTATGGTGCATGATTGATCCTATATCCAAGTGGGAGATTGTTAGGATTAGTGTGGAGATGCATCAATGCATGGAGGCATAAGGTGTAATGCAAAGAAGCTGCTTTGTCATCTAGGTTCGACCAAACTTGTGATATTTTCGGTCGAACCAGGTAATTGAGGGAGAACCTGCAGCTAGTTAAAAACTAGAGCAGGTTCGGTCGAACCAGGGAGGAGTCCGACCGAACCACACCAAGTTCGATCGAACTCTGGGTAGGTTCGGTCGAACCTCCTTTGCTCTGTTCCAACCGCTGATTTCTTTCGATATTGGTTGTGATTTAATCTTGTCCATTGATTACTCTTTGTACTCCTAGACTATATATACTATTACTAAGCATTTTTATTAGATATTCACAAACATTAACACACTAAGTGAGGGTGTGAGAGAGTTTGTGAGGAGCATTTGAATTCCATACAATACATGCTTGTAATTCTCAATTCCATTCATCATCAATACTACTCCATAGTGCAAGGGTGGGTTTTTTCTCCCAGTTCTCGGGTTTTTCCCCGGTAACATTTTCTCCCTTTTACTTGCTTTAATTTCTTCATGGTTGTTCTTAGTTGTTGTGCTTGCTTGTTCTTCATTGTTGTGCGTTGATTGTAATTAGTTTGAGCTCTTAATCCTTACAGACTCAAAAGGATAAGAGAGAATGAATGAAGTTTGAGTTAGTTCTCTAACGAGAACTAGATGAAAGAAGTAACCTAAAGGGGATTCTCTAACGAGACTCAGAAGAAACTTTCGGCCGACTTTCCAACGAGAATCAGAGCGTGATTCCTATTAGGAACACGAGGTGTTTCCTAACAGGGTCATACACAGCTATGATCCCTAACAGGAGTGTGTGATAATAAATTTTTGGTAAAAACTTGGTCTATGAATTTCGGGTAGGAAAGACATTGACG